TTCAGGAACATCTATGCACATTTTACATACAATGATAGCAAAATGGCTAGTGAAGTTCTGGAACTCTTGGGCTCTAGTTCTTTATTTTAGAAGCTTAAAAAAACCCAGAAGTAGTCTTAAAATAGAAGTGTCAAATCACAATTGGAAGGGAACTTTTCTAGTGTCCAGTGTTTTCTATGTATGATCAGCTCGGGATATACTTCATTCTGGGACCAAGTGTTCTGGTTGGATCCTTTTGACAGGAGTGAGTGGTTCCCAGTTCTTAGTGCTTCTCAGGCTGGACTTCCTGAGGATTGTGGCTATCAAGATGTTTGACTTTTCATGACAGCATGAAACTTGGTCCTTAACTAACATAGCTAGATCTGGAGCTCCTCATTACTGCTTGGGATTAGGACCAAAGCTGTAAACTGGGGTTCAGGGAGGAGCAGTAGCAGCTGCCGCCCAAACTGCGAAGGCAGTTTTAATAATCTATAAATCCATTTTATACACAAAATCTGTAATTATTATATAATATGCCCTATGGTAAAATACTATTTAATATAAAACATTTTGTGATAATATACTTTATTAAAATACATGATGCAATATAGAAATATAATGTATCTATGAATATTTTATATTGGTTAGAGATTACGTATAATCTCTGAACTTCAGCTTCAAACATAGTTATTTTAATTCAGTGTAGGTGTGAAAAAGGTACAAAACCTGTGGGCAGGTGTCATCCAGAAGAACAGAAGGAAGGATGCCCATGGAAGCAAGCTCTGGGCTTTATATACTGATAATGCCTGAGCTTGGTATGAAATTAAAGTTGAAGTTCTAGATCAATTGGGTACTCATGGTGCCAGTGGTCAGAGATCGTATCTGCCTAGGTGTGATTTGACTTAGGTTTTTTCTCCTGAACGGTATCCTGAATCACAGAATGGTTTGGGGTTGGAAGGGGCCTCTGGAGGTCATCTGGTCCAACCCCCTTGCTCAAGCCAGGACACCTTAAGGTGGTTGCCTGGGACTGCCCAGGTGGCTTTTGAATGTCTTCAAAGAGGGAGATTCCGCAACCTCCTTGGGAAACCTGTTCCAGTACTTAGTCACCCTTACAGCAAAAAAAAATATTTCCTGATGTTTGGAGGAACCTCCTGTGTTTGTGAGGCTCAGTGCCTCTGGTCCTGTCACGGGGCACCACTGAGAAGAATTCGACTCTGTCATCTTTGCACCCTCCCTTCAGGTATTTATATACATTAATAAAATCCTTGCCTCGTAGGAGAGCTGCTTCTGTCCATCATGTTAGTGGCCCTTCCTTGGACTCCCTCCCATATGTCTGTGTCTCTTGTACTGAGGAGCCCAGAACTGGACACAGCACTCCAGGCATGGCCCTGCCAGTGCTGAGGAGAGGACAAAGATCGCCTCCCTCCACCTGCTGGCAATGCTCCTTCTAGCGCAGCATTGGGAGACCCTTGGCTGCCTTTGCTGCAAGGGCGCTTTGCTGGCTTATGTTTGCTTGGTGTCTACCAGGACCCCCAGGCCCTTTCCTGACAAGCTGCTTTCCAGTGGGGTGGCCCCCAGCATCTACTGGTGCCTTGGGTGGTTCCTCTCCAGGGGCAGGACTTGGCACTTCCCCATGTTGGGCTTTGTGAGGTTTCTGTCGGCCCTTAAAAGGGAAGCGCGTCCCTGGGTGGGCTCGAACCACCAACCTTTCGGTTAACAGCCGAACGCGCTAACCGATTGCGCCACAGAGACTGCTGTGCAGCATTTTTCTTCATAAGAGCTGAATTTCCCGGTTGCATTTGATAACTGCTGATGGTCGTGGCTGTGTGTGTTGGACAGTGACAGAGCAGCGCTGCCGGTGTGTTGCTGCAACAGACTGGA